CAAATTGCACTAAATGAAAGTTGAAGGACCTGATATACAATTTCGAGATTTTTTGGTCAACCTTTTTTTTATTTTATTCTTATTTTATGATAGATATGTTTATGAGAATCTCTTTGTTATTTTGTTAGAATGATGAACTAAACAAGTTTATGTTGGAATTTATGTATTAGCTTAACCTATTTTAATGAAGAACTAAATAAAAAAGAGATTCTCATAAACATATCATTACAAACATGAAGAACTAAATGAAAGGAATACAAAAGTTGAGATAAAATCCTTTTAAATACGAATTGTAATTCCTTCAATGTATTCTTCAAGCTTTCCTTAATGATCTCCTTGCTATATCCACTTGATTCCCAAAATAAAACTAAAATTAACAAAAGAAAATAAAACTAAAATAAAAAAATCAAGAAAAAGAGAGAGAGAGACCGAGAGAAAAGTAAGAGTTGGGAAATTTTTTTTACCTACCAAGTTATATTAGTGTATATATGGAATATGTATAAAATATAATATAAAAAAAAAAGATATTATTAGACACAACATAAATATCCTAAAAATATCTAGCATAAAATAAGGATAAAATAAAAAAAAGGTTGACCAAAAAATCTCGAAATTACAGATCAGGTCCTTCAACTTTCATTTAGTGCAATTTGGTCCTCGAAATTTGACTTTTATTACATTTAGGCCCTTCCATAATTGCACTTCAAGTCCTCAGCTTCACAATTTTGTTCAATTTAAGTCCTTTTCCTTCTCTTTTCGCTCGTTATACTTCTTTCCGGGGTTTTAGCCTACAAAAGTAACAATTACACAATTATAAATAGAAATCTACTCAATTTTATCAATAATAAAGTTCCAAAAAGTGCTAAATAAGTGTGTAAAAACACACTTATCACACCCCCAAACTTGAGCTTTTGCTCGTCTCGAGCAAGATTGACTTCTAACATAATCATGCAAATGCAATAATGATCAACATATTAGATACATTGCCATAAATATCATAGAGTTCAAAATTGTATATCAATTCACAGCCATACTTCCAAATAATGCTATAAAAATTAGTTACAACTTATCCCATGTTCAATCAGTGTATGTGTGCATAGCCATTTTCAATCATCATCTAAACTAAGAAAAGACTGTCAAGACAGTAAAATTTCTAAATTAGCACCAACTCGACCCTCAGTGGTCAAATATATTCTTTCCCGCTCATAAGATTCACACTCAAATACAGATATTCCACTTCATTTCCCAAGTGTAAATCTAAAGGTTGCTCTCAAACACTCTTTTCTTTATTGATCAAAAATACTCAACTAGCATGCATTCTTAGATAAAGATAAAGTAACTGAACATGTAGAACCTCGCAAGATAGTATGATCACTCACTCTCAAGTGTATAAGATTGGGTACTGTTTCGCTCAGATCATTCCAATGAAAATGTTCTACCATAAGCTTGCATATTTTCTCAATCGTCACCACTTAGATCACATGCATTACATAAATCTTAAGGTCTTTTCAGGGTTGAAATGTGGCTTAAGGTTAAGGTGTTGAAACATTTGGATAAGTGACTACGAAGCCTCAAATAAATCAGTGGAGTAAAAGATAGTCAACTCAGCTCAACATATACAGGATCTGTACACAACCCTATCTCTCCAATCAATAACTTCTTACTTATCATCAATTCAGCACAATCACCCTTTTTCTTCTTTTAACTCTCAGGAGAACTTATAAATTTAGTCATTCAAAATCAGTCTCCTCCACATATTTTCCCCTGTCAAACAATTTTTTTTTTAAATACACCAACATAGCACCTCAAATGATATTGATACCCCCAAACTTCTTTTCTTTCACACCCAACATTCAATAAAACCAACAACACTCCACTAGCTTTGAGGGCTGGATAAAGATATTGTTTTCTGGAAATGAAAGCTTGTAATATGGGTAAACCAAAGAAAAGGCAAATAGGCTCAAAGGGGTTATCAAAGGAAAGAGTAATTTCATGGTAAGCTATTTGGCTAAAGTGGTAACAAAAATTTCCTTAATCATATTCATGTATACATGTATCAATGTGATCTTGAAAAGAAGCAACGCAAGTTCTAGAGAATCATAATCATGGAATAATGTCACACCAGAAAGAAATGATGAGACTGTAATAAATGTCATTCTATCGGCTCAAAATCTCACTTACTTTTGTGTTCACCCTATTCAGTTACTACATCTTTAATGAAAATAACAAACTAGTTGATTCAACATTTCTCACAGTACAAGGTAAAGTGAAAGAGAATAAGACATAAGTTGATATACTGTTTCAAGTAACTCACAACCTAAGTTCTTACCAATTCAAAATTTTCCAACAAACAGCTATTTCCACATCTAAATGATAATTAATCATGACTATATTCAATGTAACTCAAGATCTCACATAGAATAAGCAATTTTCGAATCGAAATTTTTTACACATAATAGCATATTTGGCACGGACGCATAGCTTATGAATCAATAACAATTTCAATGTCACGCATTTCAAAGTCAGCAAGGCTCACCTAACATGTCGATATAACACACAAAAAAATGTACAAACACAAAAAAAAAAGCCGGCAAGGCTCTAACATCTAGCAAAGCAATAGCCGGCAAGGCTCATCACCCCCAAACTTAATTCACACATTGTCCTCAATGTGTAAATAACAAGCTAAAGTAAAGTGGAATAACGAAACTTCCCTGAATAGCCATTCGTAAAGTGGAACCAATGCATTTGCTGGACTTATGATGAACGTGAGTCACTTGGATCAAAGACTTCTTTGCACATGAATTGGTCCAGAACCTGGGAGATCCAGAAATGGCTGGGATATCAAAAATTTCCTACAAAATAAATATATTAGTTCAACAATATAATAACCAAAAGCATTAAAAGTAAATAAATAAAACAAGAGTTAAAACAGTTGGGCTGCTTCCCAACAAGTGCTTGGTTATAGTCCTTAGCTCGACTATAGGGCATCTTTATTCCGGATCTTTGAAAGGAATGGAGGATTTTTCATTAGCAAAATCACCTCCCAAATATGGTTTCAATCTGTGACCATTTACTTTGAAATTCGCCTTTCCTTCATCAAGAAGGTCAACCGCTCCATGTGGAAATTTTTTTACGATGGTGAAAGGACCCGACCATCTGGAGCGGAGTTTTCCAGGGAATAACTGGAGTCGAGAATTGTACAGAAGAACTTGTTGCCCGACAAAAAACTCCCGCCTCACAATGTGCTGATCATGCTATCTCTTTGTCTTTTCTTTATAGAGACGTGCACTCTCATATGCATCAAGGCGAATTTCGTCAAGTTCATTCAGTTGGAGCAATCTTTTCTCACCGGCCAATTTTTCATCAAAATTCAAGGCTTTGATAGCCCGATAGGCCCGATGTTCGAGTTCGACCGGTAAATGACATGCTTTTCCAAATAGAAGCCGATATAGAGACATACCAATCGCGTTTTAAAAGCAGTCCGATATGCCCACAATGCATCGTCCAACTTCTTGGACCAATCTTTTCTTAATGCATTGACCGTCAACTCGAGAATTCTCTTTAACTCTCGATTAGATATTTCAACTTGGCCACTTGTTTGGGGATGATAGGGAATGGCCACTCGATGATTCACTCCATATTTGGTCAAAAGTGAGTCGAAGAGGCGATTACAGAAATGTTTACCATCATCACTAATGATGGCTCGGGGAGTGCCATAGCGTGAGAAAATATTTTTCTTCAGAAAATATACTACCACCGGAGCATCTTTAGTAGGTAAAGCTACCGCTTCTACCCACTTTGACACGTAGTCTACAACCACCAATATGTATTGATTTGAAAATGAAGACGGAAATGGCCCCATAAAATCAATACCCCAATCATCAAATATCTCCACCTCCAATAAGGAATTCAACGGCATTTCATTACGTTTGGAAATTTTACTAGTCCATTGGCATCGATCACACTTAGAGACAAGTCTATGAGCATCCTTAAATAAGGTGGGCCAATAAAAATCAGATTGAAGGACCTTTGATGCAGTTTTTACAGCACACCATATTGAGAAGAATGACATCGTTCAAGTATTTTCTCCATTTCTTCCTCCGGCACACATCTCCGGATAATTTGATCAGGACCCCGTTTGAATAACAAAGGATCTTCCCAGAAGTAATGCTTCACATTAGCGAAGAACCTCTTCCTTTATTGATAAGAAAGATCTAAGGCTATGATGCCACTAACAAGATAGTTCACATGGTCTGCATACCATGGTGTATGATTGGCTTGTAAAATCTGGATGATTTGCAACAGCTGTTCATCAGGGAACACCTCATTGATTTCACCTTCCAAAACGTCTTCGGGTTGCTCGAGACGAGATAAATGATCAGCAATGACATTTTCAGTTCTCTTTTTATCTCAAATCTCGAGGTCGAACTCCTGCAAGAGGAGTACCCATCCGATCAACCTCGGCTTGGCATCTTTCTTTGCCAACAAATATTTGATGGCCGAGTGGTCAGTGTAGACAATTACTTTGGAACCAATGAGGTATGACCGAAATTTATCAAATGCAAATACTACTGCTAGCATCTCCTTTTCAGTAGTAGGTCAACGTTCGACTGGCGTAATAGATAACATGCAGGACTTTATCTCTCCTCCGCCCCAGAACTGCTCCAACAGCATAATCACTAGCATCGTACATCAGCTCGAATGGAAGATTCCAATTTGGAGCCGCGATGATAGAAGCCGTGATAAGCTTTTCCTTCAGAGCATTGAAAGCATTAAGGCATTCTTGAGAGAAATTAAAGGTTGTGTTCTTTTCAAGCAAGGAACAAAGATGTTTTGTGATTTTTGAAAAGTCTTTAATAAACCTCCTGTAAAAGCCAGCATGTCCGAGAAAACTTCGAATTCCCTTTACTGTAGTTGGTGGAGGAAATTTTTCAATTACTTGAATTTTTGCCTTATCAACCTCTATGCCTTTCAGAGAAATTCGATGGCCAAGAACTATGCCTTCTTTGACCATGAAATGGCACTTTTCCCAATTGAGAACCAAATTGGTCTCTTTACATCGTCTAAGTACCATATCTAAATTGTTAAGGCATCTATTAAATGAGGCACCGAAAACTGAAAAATCATCCATAAAAATCTCAATACTTTTCTCCATCATGTCGGAGAAAATCGCCATCATACACCTTTGGAATGTAGCATGTGCATTGCACAGGCCAAAGGGCATTCTCCTGTACGCAAAAGTACTGTACGGGCATGTAAATGTTGTTTTCTCTTGATCTTCCGAAGCTATTGGAATTTGATTATGGCCCGAATACCCATCAAGAAAACAATAATGTGAATACCCTGCCAACCGCTCTAGCATTTGATCTATGAAAGGAAGAGGGAAGTGATCCTTTCTAGTTGCAGTATTTAGCTTGCGGTAGTCAATACACACTCGCCAACTAGTCACCGGTCTAGTGGGTATGAGTTCGTTGTCCTCATTTTCCACTACTGTTATGCCTCCTTTCTTAGGTACAACTTGACAGGACTTACCCATGGACTATCAGAAATGGGATAGATAATGCCTGCATCAAGTAATTTAACAACTTCCGCTCTCACCACTTTCTTCATATTCGGATTTAACCGCCTTTGATGCTCGACTGATGGCTTAAAGTCATTCTCCATCAGTATTTTGTGCATACAAAATGACGGACTGATTTCCCGAATATCATCTATCGTCTATCCAATTACTTCCTTATGTTCTCGCAAGACTCGAAGTAGCTTCTCTACTTCTAGATCGGTTAAGGAATTGGAGATGATCACAGGAAGTGTGGATGATTCTCCTAAATAGGCGTACCTCAAATGAGGTGAAAGTGTTTTCAAATAAAGCGTATGGGCTTTTTGATGAGATGAAAGAGGTATTGAAGATGTCTTTTCCAACTCCTCATAATATGGTACCCTCTTGAAGGTGCGGAAAGGTGTAGCTTCCAAGTACTTTGTCATACCTTCAACATCGGGGTCACCATCACTTATATCAGAAGAACTTACTAGGCATCTGTCAAGAGTGTCGTCAGAACGCCCATAAAGAGAGTCAGCAACCAAATGATCAATCATATCCACCCGAAAACGGTCATCTGGTTTCGACGGGTACTTTATGGATTTCAAGATGTTAAAAGTGACTTGCTCATCTTGTACCCTTAAAATGAGTTTACCCTCATGTACGTCAATCAAAGCTCGATCGGTAGCAATAAATGGTCGTCCCAGAATGATAGGGATATCATTATCTTCTTCCATGTCAAGTATAATGAAATCAACAGGGAAGATGAACTTATCCACTCTTACCAAGACATCCTCAACCACACCTCGAGGATATTTAATTAACCGATCGGCCAATTGCAATGATACTGTAGTAGTCTTTGCTTCTCCCATTCCCAACTTTTCAAAAATAGACAAGGGCATTAAGTTAATGCTCGCTCCGAGATCACACAAAGTTTTAGTAAAATTAAGATCCCCAATAGCACATGGAATAGTAAAGCTCCCTGGATCTTTGATTTTAGAAGGCAATTTGTTCTAGAGAATGGCGCTACACTCTTCCGTCAACATCGCCGTTTCATGCTCTTTAAGTTTCCTTTTGTTAGAAAGGATATCTTTCATGAACTTCGCATAACTCGGCATTTGAGCCAGAGCATCTGCAAACGGAATGTTAATGTGTAGCTTTTTAAACGCCTCCAAAAACTTACCAAATTGAATATCTAGTTTATGCTTCTGGAGCCTTTGAGGGAAAGGAATAGGAGGTACATAGGCTTTGACTGGAATTGGAGTCTTTGATGTTAATGGCTCCTGTTCATCAGTCTTACCTTCTTCAACAACCTCTTTAGGTGCTTGCACCACCTCATTTTCAACGATTGGTTCTTTGTCAGCTCGAGCCTTTCGCTGTACTACCGTAGGTTCAGGCAATTGAATCCCACTCCTAGTAATAATGGCCTTTGCATTCTCTCTGGGATTTGTTTCAGTGTCATTGGGTAAAGCCCCTGGAGGCCTTTCAGAGAGAAGTTTTGCAATTTAGCCCACCTGCCTTTCCAAAATTTTCAACGAGGCATCATTGCGTTCTTGGTATTGCAATTGATGATTTGCTTACTTAGCAATGGCCTCTTCCCAACCTTCTTTCTTCTCTTGTGGTTTAGGATTTAACACATTCTGGTTATTCCCAAAAGAGAAGTTAGGGTGATTATGCCATCCAGGGTTATAAGTTTGAGCGTAAGGATTGTACCCAGGGCATTGAAAATTTTGTGTATATGCCAATTGCTCGGTGGATCCCGAACTACTGGCAATCAACGGACATCTTGAACTCAAATGATTAGCTCCGCACATTTCACAGACTGATGGGGATTGGACCATATGAGCTGAATGAGAGCCAGATGACGAAGTAGAAAGTCCTTTTACTTTTCGTGCTAGAAAGTCAATCTTTGATAACATAAGAGAGTATGCTTCACTCTCTCGAGCTCCACTAACTCCCACTTTAGCACGTCTATCTGGCCACATGGCACTCTGTTCACTCATCACCTCAAATAGCTCATACGCCTCTCGGATACTTTTGTTTTGGATTGATCCGTTTGACGATGAGTCAACATTTGAGCGGTGAGAAGGAGTTAACCCGGCGTAGAAGTACTGGACTTGTTGTGCTAAAGTAATCCCATTGTTTGGGCACTTTCTTAGCATGTCCTTGAACCTCTCCCAAGCCTCGTGAAAGGTTTCAGAGTCAAGTTGTTGGAAAGTGGTTATATCGTGCTTTAACTTGGCCACACGAGCAGGTGGGAAAAATTTAGTAGTGAATTTTTGTACCAGCTCCACCCTACTCGTGATACTCCTCGAAGGTAGAGTGTCAATCCACTCTCTTGCCTTATCTTTCAGAGTCTGCACGAATAACCTCATTCTTATAACCTCATCATTCGCACCTTCATATGTGAAATTGCTAACAATTTCCATGAATCTCACGATGTGAGCGTGTGGGTTTTCATCTATTCTACCATAGAATGATAAAGAATTGGAGAATAGATTAATGACATCCTATCGCAGTTGAAAGTTAGGATGTCCATATGACGGGTAAATGATACCCGCTTGGTTCTCAACGACAGGATGGTTCAGAAAATCCCTAAACAACATATCTTCCTCATTGACTACAGGATTTTGAACCCTGCCCGCTTGATTATCAAAATCAGGCGGCACACCATCCCGAGGAGCTTGTTCATGTCGAATAAGAGGGTCCAGATGACCTTCTTGACGCTCCATGTCTCGTTGTTGTCTTTTCAACTCGTTTTGTTCTCTAAGCCTCTTTCAGAAAGTCCCTTCGATTTTAGGATCAAATTCTAGAAGATTGAGATTTCGCGAACGATGCATAAACAATGAACGAGTTAGGAATTTGACAAAAACGAAGACAAAGTAACTTTTGGATTTAAAAGGGGGAATTTAAAACAAAAAGTAAAGTTCGTTAAAGTGATTGACAAATTAACTGGTAATTTAATAAAAACACTCATCGACAACGGCGCCAAAAACTTGATCGGTATTAAATGGCATGTCGCAAGTGCACGGGTGGCGATCAAGTAGTATAATGGACCTTTTAAGTCCCAGTCGATCCCTCAGAGAGTGTTGTTTTCAATTACGAGTGTATTTGTTTCAAATTAACGAAAAAGATACACACATTTAAAAGTTCGATTTTAAAAACTATAAAAAGGCGAAAACTCGATTTTGATTTAAAATACTTAAAAAGTGGAAAAGTTTGATTTTAAAAGATGTTGGGATTTATGATTTCGCTTAACCCTTTTCAAGCCAATTATGTGTCAATGCAAATTACCAAAATATGTGGTTAGACCCGATTTTCCAAAATTAGTTAATAACCTTTGTCGAGCGATATCAACCCTAATTGCTTGGCATTACCATATTTCTATATTGTTCTAAACCAAACAACTGCATTCAATTTTTGTGAAAATAACTCAACGGGTCACATAGGGTAGGTATACATGTCTGGATACCTAAACGCGTATAGTCGAAACCATACAAACCTATGGTATTAATTATTTCGGTCTATTATGTGCAACTATTTTTCAATAATTACACAACTACCTAACCACAACATCTATTGACGTCAAATAAACGTAGTAATCTTAAACATGATAATTAATACACCAATATTTTGATAACAAATGCATATCTAACAACATATAACACGAATTTTTTTTAATGAAAATAGGTTAAGCAAATACATAAATTCCAACATAAACTTGTTTAGTTCATCATTCTAACAAAATAACAAAGAGATTCTCATAAACATATCATTACAAACATGAAGAACTAAATGAAAGGAATACAAAAGTTGAGATAAAACCCTTTTAAATACGAATTGTAATTCTTTCAATGTATTCTTCAAGTTTTCCTTAATGATCTCCTTGCTATATCCACTTGATTCCCAAAATAAAACTAAAATTAACAAAAGAAAATAAAACTAAAAGAAAAAAATCAAGAAAAAGAGAGAGAGAGAGAGACCAAGAGAGAAAGAGAGAAAAGTGAAAGAGTTGGGAAATTTTTTTTACCTACCAAGTTATATTAATATATATATGGAATATGTATAAAATATAATATAAGAAAAAGATATTATTAGACACAACATAAATATCCTACAAATATCTAGCATAAAATAAGGATAAAATAAAAAAAGGTTGACCAAAAAATCTCGAAATTGCAGATCAGGTCCTTCAACTTTCATTTAGTGCAATTTGGTCATCGAAATTTGACTTTTATTACATTTAGGCCCTTCCATAATTGCACTTCAAGTCCTCAGCTTCACAATTTTGTTCAATTTAAGTCATTTTCCTTCTCTTTTCGCTCGTTATACTTCTTTCCGGGGTTTTAGCCTACAAAAGTAACAATTACACAATTATAAATAGAAATCTACTCAATTTTATCAATAATAAAGTCCCAAAAAGTGCTAAATAAGTGCGTAAAAACACACTTATCAATTCCATGAAGCACTAAGGAAAATAGTTTCCTAACTCATTCCTATGATATTAAAGTGCTTTCTGCAGAGTTGTAAGAGGTTAAGATAATCTTTTAATGATTCATATATCTTTATTAAGTCAAGTGGAGTAGGGTAGAATGCTCTTAATAGGAGGTCACCTATGTAAGTGTGAAGTGGGGCCGCTTCAATGAGAATTATTCAAGGCTTGAATTCTCTTAACACTTGCAGAACTAAGAAGGATTCAGGGCCAAAATGAACCAAGTCATGAGAACCATGAACGGTTTAGGGAAGACATTGTGTGAGTATCGTTGTCTTGGCTTACACTAAAGGCTGAATGGTTCAAGACATCACGTTCACCAATTAGCCGAGTAAGTCCGATGATATTTCACTACGAGAGGTTCAAGGGCAGAAGCTACTATCCCCGATGCAATGGCTCTCCGCTCTCTCTCTCTACTTGCATCACATCATAGCATTATATTTGCATACTCGAATTTTCATTTATGTGGAGGATTGTTGGAATTGGTTAAAAATTAACTGAAATTGATTAAGTTTAAAACTGGGAAAATAAAAAGGTGTGACTTCGTGTCAACTTCGATCGAATGTTTGGACTTGATCCGATGGTCAAATTACAAAAGTAAATAGACCAACTTGGATGTGTATTTGTCATTCCAATTCATTCCATATTATTCATTTCATGTTAAGTTACATAAAACACTTCGTAAAAGTGATTATCTTTTACATCAAAATCATTGTTATGGTAGAGAGGGAATTCCATTCGAGTTCGTTGGTCGAAGCCATTTTGAGTATTCCTATGGCTTAACGTGGTCGTTGTATCTTGGGAGATGATTGTCGGAAAATCGTTAGCACCGATGCTGGGCAAATTCATCTTAAAGACCAAGTGTCAAACACTTGGCTCGACCAAAAATTCATCACTTGCATCTTTCTTCCTTCATTTTCTAATTTCTCTTAATTATGGTTTGATTTCAGAAACTAATTATCATTATTTACATGTTTATTCTGCGATGTTTGATTCAAAGAATAACTTGCTTTCGTTCAAGAATCGAAAGAGATGAATCCATATTCATGCATTCAGATTCAGTAACTATTATTGTTTTGCTTCTGAAATTCTATTTCGGTAAGTCGAAATTACATTTTGATTTCACGCAAATAAACGGTATGCTTTTGTGAATATAATATGCACATAATCGTTGAATTTCCCCAACACTAATAATAACGTGAAATGAAAAAAGAAAGCAAGAAAAACACATATTTTAAGTGGTTCGCTATCAATGTAAGAGATTTATCCGCTCAATGTTGATGTAGAATTGTATTATATCGAAAAAGCTATTGTACACTCTCTCTTTTTTGGATATGTACCTTGCTTTATTTTGTAGCTCCTACCAAAAAGGAAAAATCTCATCTAATACCTTTCATTTTGGGAAAAATATTGAGGAGATCTAGTACGTGTAAATTGTATTCCCACACAAAGTGTAACATTCACAGTGGAGATTAGAGATTATAGGGAAACACAAAAGTTCAGCCATCGCCAACTCACTCAATCCTCTTCCCTTCCATCTCCCCTCCACTACATAATAAGCCTTAATTTATAAGAAAAATGAATGGCACCACTAACTTTCCTTTTCCAACACTCAAGTTACGCAAACAAATTTTAATCTTAGTCTCTATTTGGTTTAGATAAAATTGATGGAACGTACCGTTAAAAAAACTGTGGATTCTATGAAAATGTGTGGTTAAAATTTAATTGTTGATTTTCATTTATATTTTAATAAACTTTTTAGGTGAATCAAACATAAACATAATCTTGATAACAATGTACAAGTCCAAACACAAATTGTCTCTCTCCCTCTCTCCATGTGTATGAGTGAGTGAGAGAGAGGAAAAAGTCAAGAAAGTGGGTGGTAGGAGAATATAGAATTGGTTTTGTTTAGAGTGAGAGATGCTTTGAATGGGCATATTTTCAAAAAGCATCTAAGATGTAATCTACCTTTTAATGCGGTGTGCTATGCTTTCCAAGCGTGGTTGTCTTTGTTGGACAATCCACAACCAAATGGCTCCATGCTTTCCTCTCCTCTCCTGTCCCACCATACTTCATGTCCACACTTATTATATTCGCACCCTTCCACACATGTATATTGTATAAGTCTCACATCGGAAAAATAAATAAATATTAACCAAACATGCAAGGCTCTGAATTATTCTTTTTTGAATAAGATCGACCTTTTATAAATAAACATCAATGTCTTAAACCAACAATTTGATTTGACTAAGATTGAAACTAACACACACGAATTTGAGGATTAACGTTCTCAAACTTGCTAATCTTGTGGGGGGTTTGTTAAGGATAAATCCTATATTCATTTGCGATAAATGAGTAAACTGATCCATCTGAGAGTCAAGACTTCGGCTATGACCTTTGAAAATGGAACCTCGGATATTAATAATATTTAAGTGTATTTTGAGAAAAGATTTTAAAGATAATTAAATAATAAATAATTCTTTTTTTTAAAAACACCTAAGAAGTGCGTAGAGGAATGAATCCTTTGCTTTACATCTCATCTAATCTGTCAAGGTTTAAACTTGATTAGGAGTCTTTAATGTTCCCTCCACTCCAAACAATTGGGCATGAAAATAGGCATATTATTTGTATAAAAATCCATAATCAGGGTAGATTTCTTAAATAATTAATTATAATCATCTTACTCTGTCTCTCTGTGCACAAGAAGATCTTTTCAGGTGATAAAAATCATGTCCACTTTTAATTATTTAATTACTAAAACACTAGTGGCCTTATTTTTCTCAATTCATTTATCTAATTACCCTTTTTTTCAATTAATTATTAAGTAGGAAGTATTTAAATATTTATTTTCTTAATTCATAACTACTCAAGTCCAAATGGTGGAAGAATAATTAAATATGTATAGGAATTTTTTATGAATAAAAAGGGATAGTCAAAGTTCGATAGCCGTAGAAGATTTGACTATCGTGATCGAATAAATACCTGTTAAATTATGATAATTTGAAATTTAAAAAAAAATAATTATAATATTTTCTAAAACTATTTATAAAATTATCTTCATATCTTTGAAATTTAGACTGACGTTGATGCATTGAGATTAAATAATTAGCGATTCTTAAGTTCGATATATTTGCATGGTAAAAAAAAAATTTAACGTATTTTTAACAAAACAATTATAATTTAATTACATTAATCTATTTCTCAATTTTCTCAAAATTATTTCAATTAACAAAAATAAATTAAATTACGTTTACAATATATTTGAGATTAATTTTACTAAATTTATTTGTATCATTTCAACTGACTCATTACTTAGATTTGATGACTCTTACTTTTTTGAAAGATTACCTTGAAGTAAAAAATGATTTTATTTTTTTTAAATGTATATTTAAAAATGAATTTGAAAAAGAAAAATGATTTGAAACAAAAGAGAGTAAGGTGATAAAAGAGTAAAAGTGATCAAATGGAAGTGGGAGTGTGCGTGTGATGTGGGGTAGCATCAAGTTTGTAAAGATGGTCTCTGTCCCTTGTATAGGAATAGCTCTCTTTATGGTTCAAACATAGTCATAAATCACGTCAATGAAAAGTATTATTATGGCTTTTTAGTAGGCCCTTTCAAAAATTATAATCTCTTCCCGTGTTTTTTCTATAGGACTTTTCAATGCACTTTAATATGAATGTTCGGCGAAATACGGCCAAACTTATGTATCACGTTTGGCCAAACATGATTTAACATTCGATCATCGTATGTCTGGACGTCTACTTGTAACCTATCTTTGATTTTCGAGTTGTGCAAGAAAAATTTGACAATGTTAGTACATTTCAAAAAATTACCAAAAAAAAAAAAAAAAAAAAAAAAAAAAAAAGGGAAAAAAAAACTACGTATGTGATTTCAAATTAAAAATCATAAAAACATGGGAAAATTGAACTACGTATGTTGAACACAATTACTTTTGGAGATAGAAATTTGTATTAGAAAACCAAAGTTTGCCTTGAGGTTAAGGAGTTAATGTTGAGAGGCTGACAAATATGAGTATTTTATTTATTTAGATAAAAATACTAAGCACCTATTTGGGAGCCATTTTTTAGGAAATTAGTAGAAAAATTCTAATCGTTGAGATGCCAGGCGAGACTCACGATAGAGAGAAACAGTCAAAAAGTGCAGTTGGAATTTGGAATCAACCGTCAAAATTCTCATTTTTTTCCCTTGAAAATGGCTCCCAAACAGGGGCTAAAACTTATTCTCATGTTTGTCACATTTTAAAACATAACTATTTCATTTTCATACTCATTTTTCAATTACATTCACGTAATAAAATATTTTGAATGTAAATTCAAAACTTTTTTCCACTTTTAACCATATAATATTTAAAAAATCAATATTCATATATTCATTTTTTTTTTCAAAATAGTGACTATCAAACAATGTTAATTTGAGAGATTTATAGAGAAAAAAATGAGTTTTGCATCTACAAATTCAGTCATGCTTGGCTGTCAGAATTTTTGGACATCTTGAATGATAGAATGTAACGTTAGACTGTTTAAAAAATAGTCAACATAGTCATTTAATCACTCTTTGTCACAACTTAATCTATCATGCAAGCTGTTAAAAAGAGACCATGCTAGATGTACCTAATTTTTTTTTTTTTTTACTTAATGTTTTACATACACTCACAATAGAAGTGTGGGGACGACATGTTGGAATTATTTTATTCATGCGAAATCTACGTACTTGTGAGAGTAGATAAAACATTTGATAAATCAAATTATATACACTTAGAAGTATCCATCAAAAAAATTCCCACAAAACAGCATTATTCTTAGAAATTGCGTATTATGCACATGAATATACGGCTGGAAACCGACCCCACAAATTCGGTTGTTATCATTATTAGTTTGAATGGTCAAGTTTAGGATCATAGGTTAAACTTCGGATACCCTTTTATTTTTCTCTATTCTGTTAAATAATTGAGTTGATTTTTTATTTTAAAATATAGAAATATTTTAGTATTTTGGGTAAAGTTTTTTTTCGCTAAAAATTTTGTCAAATCTCATTTTTAACTACACATTTAATTGATTTCACAACTTTTTATCCAATTTTCATGCCACATTTCATCATATCCATGATATTTTATCGACTTTCAACAATAGGATTTCATGATACATCAATCAATCGTGACTATAAGGAAAGAGTTTGGTTCAAGCCAGATCACAAGAAAACTTATATGCTACATTGAACGTGATTAATGAAGAAAGAGATGTCATAATTGATCCTTTCTGTTGATCCATTTTTAGAGTTCTTGTACTACCACATTGAAAGTGATCTCGAGTCTCTGACATGAAAACTCTTTGAAGGTTGCCTTCACAAGGTTGTTCATGTTTTATTCTTCATTGCCTTGCGACTTGCGTCTTCTTTAACTAAATATCTATTCATTTATTAATGTTACTTCACTAAGTTTTGAAGCACCAATAAAAGATTTGTTAGACAATACACATTACCTCATTGCTTGTTTGGTAGGAATTTTGTTAATTGATTTTTTGATCGTTAGAAATAAAATAAGTCCTACTTATGATAGAATAATTCAAAAATGATGGCTGAAATAGTAAAATAACAATAAAAAAATTGATGTTAATTGGATTAAAATCTCCACCAAACATGCTTTCAATCTTTGCTTTGATAGTAAAGTTTATCATATATTCATATTCCTTTATGTTAAGGGCATAGGTGTATAATTCGACTGGGATCGTTAGGTTCAAACCGAAAGGTGATGGTTTGACCTTGTTGGTTAGACATACTATCCATTGATGCCGGGTTCAATATGATACAAGAACAAGTATATACTCAATTGAGTATATAGATGGTAATGGAGAAAATACTTAAATGAGAATGTCTTACATTCACATGTGATAATATTGTTCAATCAAATCACAATACATCGAATTTTCACATATACAAAATAAAACACCTCGATGTTCTAGGTAGTAGGACAGAAATAAAGTGGGCGTATGATGCTAAGGTATCATGTTTTGAATGGCTTGAGATTCAACGTTCGTGATTTGTACACATGGTCTTATCGTGTGTGCATATAAGATCATCTTACCAAAGTTTTTATTTATTGTAATAATGACATACACCAATCAACGTTAGAAGAGAGTAATAACACATTTTTTGTTTTGGTTTAACAAACCGTAAAGAACAAATTTGGTTTTTATTTTGAAGTAAGTTTTGAAAGTACTTTTTTTCATTTTCTCTTACAATAGTGGTGAATTTAGATAATTGTTTGAAAAAAAAAAAAAAAAAAAAAAAAAAAAAAAAAGGGGGGGGGGGGGGGGAAAATTTATTATTTACCCGGAGGGAGCGAGGGAAAAGTTCATGATTAGCCATTACTCCTCCACGCGGATACTCGCACGCACAAACTGTAGTAGTGCATGATTAATTGTAAAATGATGCTCAACACTCCCAAGCGTGCAATTCACACGTGTGCAATAATAAACACGAACCAACGGGGACATTCCCGTCATTCTATTCTCTATATAGCTTCTCATCGACTCATACACTTTGCACTCCTCTCCAACTTTCTCTCTCTAAATTTGCTCTGTTGCGCCTTTTTGGTTTCTTATCTGCGGTAAAATCTGAGCCTCTGATCTTTGTTTATTGAGGACAAGCTGTTAAGATCTTGGCTTTTCCTTTTGTTTACTGTAAGTTCTTTCCCTTTTGATCGCTTCAATTTGGTGTGAGCTGCAGTTTTTCTTGGATGATTATTTTTAACTGTTTCTGGGTTTATATTTTATTAGTTACCCGTATATCTGTAATTTTTTGAACCGGAATAATGTATTTATATCTAATTTGTTGAATATGAATTATTTGGTTAATGTTAAAATTGTATTTAGAGAGCGATATATTTAGATGATAGATTAACAAGATGCTAAGCTCTTGCGAGTTTTGCGGTATACAGAACTGGATTGGACTAGACATAACATTATTTTAACTCGTTGTTTTCCTTAGTAATATTTAGTAATGTATAATTCAACTAAATACAAAATTTACTAGATTTGTTTCCTGGAAAAAAAAAATGATATTTTTTGACCTAGTTGAAGTATCCACAATTTGCCGCTAACATTGAAAAGTAAGGATCACATTCGATCATCTTGAGAATAACAAAATAGATTTTATTTGTTGAAAAGTGTAAGACTTATTTAACACTCGGAAAAAATTAGAATGAAATAAAACAAGACTTCCCTTGTTTCAATGATTCACATGTCCTATTGTTCTTTTGATTGAAAGTACATATATTGTATCATTTTCTTTAACTCCTCCATCTGCATTTGAAAAAGTTATCTGAATACTTTGTTAGAAGTTCTAGCAGCCCTTACCTATCAAAAAAGGAAGTTCTAGCAGCCCTTCTCACATTCTTAAATCTTAATTATTTGAGACCATAAGTTGGGTTTGCTTTAATGATCGTGAGTCTGCTTAGTTGTTTGAGTATTCTTTACAAACTACGCTTTTATCTGTTTTGTGGTTTCTGAGGAATTATAGAAGAAAAAGAGGTAAAGGTTTGATGCTTTAGACATATTAGTGTTTATTCGGTTACATTAGACAAATTACTAATGAGCTCTTATATTATTATCTTTTTGCTAAATTAAGAAATCTTACCAATTTGATTTGAAATTAGAGATTGAAATCACGGCATTTGAATAAAGTCCATCTTATTTTCATTCAAAACTGCTACAAGATCGACAATTACATAACTTGGGCTTCTGTTGCTGACCTAAAAACATCTCTTTCCATGTCTTACGAGTAAACTAAAGAAAAGATTGTTTTCATTTTATCCTATAGTCAATGTTAAGAAACTCATGAATGCTGTTTCTTTGAATGGAATCCAAGAGATTTGGTAAGGATTATTGAAATAGTCCTTCATCTCATCATGTTATGAAGTTTCTTTTAGTTTCTCATCATGGTTCTAGATCTAATATACTTCAAAACTTAAACAGGAAAATCAAAGTCATTAGTTGTGGCAAATTGAAGAACAGCATGCGGTGGTATAGTCTCTCCATTGACGTGTTCCAGAAAGTTATCTCTTTGAACTTGTACTGCCATGTGATTCTGTAAAATCTTCTCAATTCAGAAAACTACACCGCTTAGCCACTTACTTTCACATACGCCTAGAATACTCAATTTTATTTCCATATGGGATCTACTCGCTTTGTGGTCATTCCTTGCTACGTACGCTTGATCAGCTGAGCTTTTCTTCTCCTCTGGAATTTCTTGGCATATTCTCCAGTCTTCAGACCTAGACAATTGTGTTATTTGGTCCTCAATTGTGCTTTGTTATAATTTCCTGTTGGGGTTTTGCGGGTTACCTTTGAGCCAAGAGTTTGCCTATAGTTCGGTTTTTTATTACTTTGTTCAGAACGGTGTGGTGTTATTTAATTGAACTGGTTAGGACAAGAAGTTATGGTGTGCCAAGCTGCTAGTCAGACAAGATTTCGGGCATTGAAACATGAGAATGGAATTGCTGGGCGTGCCACCATAATAGTTAGAGTCATAGCATGCTTTCAACCTCTCCAGGATTGCCAGGTTTGTCTAGATGTAAACCCCGTGATTACTGACATTTGATCTTTATGTCATTTATCTTCAAATTCTATATGACGTGCCTGATTTTAAGTATATGGTTGTAGAATTCTAATCTTTTTATTGTTTATTTCAGGCTGAGTATTTCCGTCATTTGCTTAAACCTGTTACGTAGATTGGATTCTTTTCTGGTGTTTTCAAGTTATAAGCTGGATTTTTTTAGTTTTTGTTTGCCTTCAAATATAAAAGTACAACAAACAATCAGCGATTTTGAATACAAGTATTGGTTATCTGGTAAGTCTACAATGTCCTAGTGTTTTTAACTTTTGTACATAGGGTAGCTTATGTATTGGATGCATCTGATTAGTTCATTTTGCCCATCAATAGGTGATTGTTTTGCCTAAATGGAAAAGAACTCTGGAACATGGTTCTATTATGATCAGCAATCACGCAATCAAAATTCCTTGGGCTCCCCAATCCACACGGGGCTGCTGAGTTCTGTGCCCACTTACTTGAATCAGTACCCTGAATATTCTACATTTGAAACTTCTCCACTCTTTCCGGATTCTGGGATGCAACAGTTTAAGGCAAGTGAACCGAATGTCTCTCACAATTGGTTACACTTTCTGCCTTTCAATCAGACCTTTGCTCCCGTATCGAATCCTGTTTTTACAGAGAGATTTCCTACTGCCCCTCTTGAAAATTTCGGGATGAAAGGAAGTCCTGACACAGCCACTAGAACCGCTCAGAAGAAATTTCTAGTTTTTGATCAATCTGGTGGCAGAACAACCTTGATTTACAGTTCTGGGGTTGAAACTCCTGTTCAGTGTATGACTCTTTCAAAGCCAAAGCCTCCTGCCCCGTATGTTTTGAATAAAGAAGAGGCGCGAAATACCAGAGCTCCTTTGGGGCCACTTATGAATGACGTGTACAATGAAAATAACTATAAACATGACAAGAAAAGTGAGATGCATGAAGACACTGAAGAACTGAATGCTTTGCTCTTCTCTGAGGGTGACAGTGAGAGTTCTGATGATGATGAAGAAACGAGCACAGGTCGTTCACCTCCTAGTACGATGACCCATTGTCGTCTACCTGTTTTGGCCGAAGACAGGGATGTGCTTCGTTCTGCTGAGCCAAACAAGAGGCAGAAACTCTTACACGGAGGTTATGATGTGCCACCATATGTGCACACTGCACGCTCTTTGAAAACCTATACAAGCTCTGAATTGGAGGATGATGCAGATTCCAGTTGGGGAAATGCTAATAGTCAAGATTCTAAAGAGTTGGGTACCATATCCGGTAAAAAAAGGTCTAGGAAAGATGAAGTACTCGAAACTGTTAACATTCTGCAGAGGATAGTTCCTGGTGGGAAGGGGAAGGATGCAATTGTCATTATTGATGAAGCAATTCACTACTTGAGGTCCTTGAAGGCAAAAGCTAAGGTTTTAGGGCTAGATACGCTCTGAATATCCACTTTCCTTGCCTCACCAATCAGTGCATGCTTGTTATCTACTATTAGACCATACTAGATGGTACATGAAATAAGATTTCCATTTTGTCCTTAATGTGGTCCACTGTTATTTAATCCTCCCAACCAGACAATACATTGTTGAAGAGTTATGACAGTCAGGATTGTTCATAAAACAGCCAGTAGCAGTACAGTACCTTTGAAACAGCTAGGGCAAAGTGAATTCGGGCCAGATGACACGTGTTTTTATCTTATCATAAGTGGAAATTGGGAAATGGTGTAGAGAAGTAGCTTGAAGAATCTTTGTAGTCTCTCTGTAATGATTTGTGTTGAAATTAAAACCTTTGATTTTGAATTTGATGGTGCGTCTATCCTATCTACAGGGACAAGAAAGATGCTGAACAGAATATGCCTCTTGGAATTAATTAGATACGAGCCGTGTGAATGAGAAGGATTTTATTTTTAGCTTTGTCAGGATCCAGAAAATGGACAAGCTTTTGTTAATGAAAAGAGAACTTAGCTAGGTAGGACCCTGATAATGGTGGGTGCACTAATTTGGCAAGATGGGTCTTCATCCTCCCTCGCTCTTTTCTGTGGACATAGATGGAACCACTATGAGACATGAGATACTGTTCTTGTCTTGTCCCTATTTTTTTAGTATTTTCCTTGTGTCCAGGGGCTCGCGAAGAGAGTAGGATTACGAAGAGCAAAAATGAGGCCTGCAATGATGAAATAATGTGGTGATAGTGATGCCCAATTAAGAAGCTATTATACCCACAATATTCCAGCTACTCCATCGTATTGACGACGTGTAGAAGCTTCGTTGTGTTGCTGTGCCTTTTGCTTTTTCGTCAAATATTGGTTGCAAATTCTCTTCTGAGTTTCAAGATGGTGGGGTAGCTGGAAAATGGACTTTGCAGCCAATATCGACGAATGAGCAAGAAGCGCTGCAACATAGCCGAGTTTCGTGTCAAGAATATGCTTTTGCTGCTATATGACATCCGATTCCAAGTTCTACTTTATTATTAAAACAATACCTTTCAGGTTTAAGGTTTTTTCCTTTTTCTTTTTCCCCATTAATTGGTGTACAATTAAATAAACCGACGTACTTACCACGTTACTACGAGTCGTGTCGCAAAAGTTTTTAAATTTGAAAGTACATAGTCCATGTAATGAAAAGATTTTAGAAATAGGTTATTAATCGGTTTAAAATTTTAATCTCGTTACTGGCACTACGGTGACAATTTCTTCCTTATATTGTCCTGTTTATCTTTGTACACAAGGGTCCTTACCTATCGACTGCCTCTAGCTTTGAACGACTACAAATAAAATTCTGCTGACAAATTTATAACAAATTTGTGATGCATAGCACACTAGCCTTTGGTGCAAAATGTATTCACTTTCCATGTTCTAATCCCGGAAATTGTAGCTATAGAAAGAGAATAAATAATTGCCAAATTCCCCCCTTTTCAAGTATGTAACCTTTGCAGTTCACTTATTAC